CGTCTGAACATTTAAGCTACAAATGTAAATATGTATATAAAAAAAGAAATTAATTAGAAATTAATATTTTTTACTTTAATTCATTGCTTTTATTTTTTTTTTTTTCTGTTTGATGTCAAAAAGTATTTAATTGCACTTATTGAAGTCTTTTAATTCTAAATTTAATAAAATTAAAAATAAAGAAATTGCTACTAAAATAAAAAGGGAAAATTTATAGTTATTGAATTGTGTTAATTGCTTTCACTTTAATTTCTTTCAGACTTCATTGCCATAAATTATAGACTCTTTCAAACATACAAACATTTTAAAAATATTGAAAATGCTGCCAACAAAATTAAAATATAATTGATATTTGCTAAATAAGTTGAACAAAGATGAAAATTATGCATATCGATGGATTGAAAAACACAAAACTGACAGACATTAAGAACGATAGATCAATATTCGATTAATATCCTATCCCTAAGTTAGAACTTTGCAAAAGCGTCATTAAAAGCTTTCAAATTAATGGAGCCAAAGCAAACAATATGGACCTTTTTTTTTCTTTTTTTTTTTTTAACTATAATTGTTTTTTAGTAACATTAGCTTTTGGGCTAACTGTTCTGCTGGGATTAGGATGGAAAGATAAATTATTAGGTTGGTGGCTAAAATCTAAAACGACCAAAAGCTGCCATGAGGCATGCTAAACTCAACTACCGTTTTATTCAAAACTGCCACTCAATCTCTTTTGCTCCCTGCATTCCCTAGTGGAACCAGAAGTGCTTACAAATCATCAACAACAACATTGGTGGTATGGAAACTCGCCCCCCCCCTTTCTAAAGTAATTTCTTATTTTCTTTATTAATTTCTAACTTTTACAAAATAAATGATTACAAATCAAAGTTTGTCTTGTTTACAATGAAAAGGTGATAACTCGCTCACTTTGTGAAATCAAATCTTGGGGTATTTATTGTCTGTGCACTTCAAGTTTTGTTCAGTATTTTCTCTTGTGTTATTATTTACTTGAAAATCCTAGTAATGATCTAGTAATGCTGGTTTCTTTTCCAAATACCTATCTTCAAAACCTGAAAATGTAATGTTTCTGATTTCTTCAGAAATTACCTTAGTTTTCACAATATACAATCTTTTGTCTGTGTCTGCTGACTTAATTGTTCCTTTCAGTATTTTTCTTTATCCAATTTTATTCTAACTTTATCTCCTTGTATGAGTTGGTAATTTCTGACACCATGGAATCTGGAAATTCTTTTCAATTCTGTTTTTTTGTTGTTTGCCTCTTTCCTGATTTGTGTGAAATTAGGGGATCTTAGTAGTAATTTTTGGGGGTGTGAAGGTAATGTGGTTCTTATTTTCCTTCCCATAGTTAATTCTGTGGGACTAACTCCTTCAATTGGCATACTCTGTTAGGCCATTAATGCCTGAAATATGTTTCTCAAAATTCTCTTGTCTATTTTAACAGCACTTTCTGCTTCTCCATTTGCTTGAGAATAATGTAGACTTGATGTTATGTGTTTCAATCCATAACTGCTTGCAAAATCTTTGAAAACATAACTTGTGAATTGTTTCTCCCTTATCACTGACAGGTTCAATAGGAATTCTCCAACTTGAGAAGAAATTTTTTCAACTTCCTTATAACAGAATCTCTTTTATTGGATTGATCTTTATTATTTCTATATATCTCAAGAAATAATCTATTACAACAATATATTGGTGTCTTTGGTGAGTGAAAAAATCTGTACCAATTCCTTGCCATGAACCTTGAGAAGGGACAATTCATTCTGACTGGGAAAATATGGGCTTGTGCTTTTCAATTCTTCCTTCACCTTTGGTAAAATAAGGAATGTGACTCTCTGAGTATACAGTATGGTATAGCATCATCTTTCAGAGCTATTTTAACTGGATCTCCACTCATACAACCAATGATGTTGAATGAAATCACCTCTTGTTTCACTTAATTCATTTTAATAGCTGATTGTCTGAACAATAAGTTCACTCCCTTTACACATTTAATGACATATAAATATACAAATTACTTTTTTTTTTTTTTTTTCCTTAAGCAGTAGCAAATTTACCAATGCATTGGACTATTCCTCTTCCAAGACTTGCAAAGTTGCCACTTACTGGTTTTAAATATGTTTTTCCTTCAGATTTTTGTATGTTTATGTCAGCACCTGTGTCAATTTTAAATTTCACCACTGTTTTACAAATATTTAATTTTTTTGTACCATGGGTCATTTTGATTTGTTTCTGTTAGTTCTCCTGGAAAATATTCCTTTTCTTCATTTACTGTCTATATCATTAGTTTTGGTTCTGCAGGTTACAGTGAAGTGATTGATTTTTCTTCATTTCTTTCACTGTTTTAGCTTTCACTGGACAGTTTTTAAAACCCTGTTTTCTGTTACTTCTATTACAGTTGTTGTTGCTGTTTCTTGTGCGTTTTCTTCTTGCTGTGTCTCATGGATTTCTCTGGATCTTTTTATTTCATCTACATTTTTTTTTCATGTATTTCTTCCATTTGAGATTTTACTTGTTCACTGCTCCTGGCCATTTCTGTAGCTTTTTCAAGTTTTAAATCAGGAATTAGCTGTAATCTTTTGGTTCTTATTCTGTAGTCCTATCACCAGATTACCTCTAACTTGGTCATTTTTCTTTGAAAACTCACATGGTTCAGCTAATTTGGTTTTGGTCAGTGAACATTTTACACTTTCAAGTATTATGTTTCTTTTAGGAATGAAGTAAGCTTTGAATTTTTCAAAAATTGAGTCATATACATTTGCATCTTCTCATCATGAGAAAGAGACTCGAATATATTTTTGGCTTTGCTTCTCATGCAACATATCAAATGTACTGACTTGAGTCTTGTTATCGTCTTCCCATAGTTTTGATGCTTCTCCAAAATGTTGAAATCTCTGTGACCATTTCTGCTAGATTTGTAAAGTTGAATGGCTATGGTGTTAATTTGATTATTTTTTTTAATTGGGTCCTGTTTGTCTACTAGAAAATAATTTCCTCTTTTGGAACAAATTCCTCTCTGTTACCATGTTCTACAGGGCTTAGAGTGAAACAAATCATTGAGCTGTAAATAGAAATAGGAGTTGAAACTCTTCATTTTTGATCATTATTAGCCTCATTAATTAGGTGTAATAAAAACAAAAAAAAAAAAATCAATATTTTGTGTTTTTTTATTACTTACATTATTCTGACTGTTATCCTCATCTTCATTGCCATATTCACAATGTTTCAACCACTGTACACTCTGGCCTTCTTTAGGTGATTGGAATTTCAAACCGAAATTCTTTTTTTTTTCTTAGTTTTTCAGATTATTTTCTCATAAAATTTAGAACTTTATTTAAATATGATCTTAAGCTATGTGATATTAAATATCAAATCGTATATGAGAACTTATTTTAAGATGTTACCAGAAAAATATTTTGTAAAACTTAACAGGAAGCACTAAAGGAGAATCATTTCACCCTGACACAAGAAATCAGCTAAAACTGAGCCCCAACCCTCTTAGAAAACTCATCCCATTTAAACATACTGATTTTAACAGACTAACTTAAGGAAAATTGAAAATAGTTTTTGAAAAGTCATAATTTAGATTATAATAAATAGGAGTTAAATTGAGCTAATTTCTCTATCTCTCACTTTTAAAACATGAAATGTTTTATGAAAATCTCAGTGACATAAAGCAAAATAAAATATTCCAGGTTATTTGCAAGATTTTAATAATTTGTATGCATAGAGTATGGAAATCCTACAAATCACTTTATTGCTCCACCTTCTGACTTTTTCTCTCTCTCTTCTCTTTGGAAATTTTTCAAAAAAGTAAAATCATGGTGATAATTGTAATACATTTGTTAAAAATAATTTAAATGTGTTCAGCAGTTAGAACAAGTGTTTAAATAAAACAGAGAAGACATGATTTTATTAATATTTACTCATGTTTAGTTTTCCCAAAATATCTCCAGAGCTTTTAATAAAGTGAGAAATTTTATAACAGCTTGTTTCGAGGTGAAATCATTGAGGTGGCCTCTTTTCATCTGTTATTTTATTCTTGTAACTTAGTTTAACTTTAGCATAAACAAAGTGAAGCCACCAGTTGACAAGTGTTCAGCATTTAAGAGAAAGAGCATAATATTCCATCATTATTGTTTATATATATATATATATATATATATATATATATATATATATATATATATGGCTTTAGTGAGCAGGCAAAACTTGTTAGAGCTTATCTAATAATATTCACCATTGTATTACCATTTATTTTAGCAGTGGAAGGGGGTTCAATTCCCTGTAAGACTCATAAAGTAATCCTTTACTGAGAAAGATGGATAGAATTAGGGAATTCATTAAAAGCAAAAAAATAGCAAATACATTATTGAATAAATGTTTTAAATATTTGTCTTGTTTACTCAGTAATCATTTTTATACCCAATAAAATATTTTAAGCAACCAAAAGGTTTTTAAAATTATTATTTTTGTCTCAATCTTTAGGGATATGGAACTATTGTTCCTCCACAACAGAAGTGTATTGCTTAGCCTATGTAATGAACTAGGGATTTCAGGAATGAGGGGAACTTAACAGTAGAAATGATCATCTTTATACACTAAGAATGTTGTACTTCTATCCCAAGTGAGGCCATTGAACATAAAAGTATTGTGTGTGTCTGCGCGCACACACTATGCTTTTAAAAGGCAAGGTACAATTCAAAAAATCTATGAAGGTTACTGTATTTAATAAATTCTTGATGAAAGCCATAGTAAAATTAATGATAATTTATGAGAAAAGCAACAAACATGTTAATCTGGAAGAATCATTGAATAGTAACAATGTGTCCAAGCACTTGTGTTAATTTGTCTGAAATAAATTTTTAAAAGTATATATACAAAGTAAAATTTGATCATAGAATTAAAATCTATTAATAAAGTACTAGCTTATTATTAAACCTTTTTTTTTTTTTTTTTTTTTTTTTTTTTTTAAATTTTATGTGCAGAGTTTGGAGTGTATCTGGCTGAGTTGACAGTGGATCCAAATGAGGCTTTAGCCATCCGCCAACTAGCTTCAGTTCTGTTAAAGCAATATGTGGAGGCACATTGGTCAAATCAGTCTAGTAAATTCCGTGCCCCTGAAACCTCTGAGAAAGTGAGTAGTGCAATTTTGTTTTCCTGCTTTTTATTTTAGTGTCTATTACAATTTTCATTAATTTTGTGATTTTTTGACCTATTTCAAAAATAAAATATTATAATTTGATAGTATAGAATAATTTTTGAGGTGGCATTATTATTTGTGCCAATTTTTGGTGGGGTTCTTTTCAGTCATCTTAACTGGAGTGTCAGGTCCGTATTGATTTAATAATTTGAAGATAATAGAGAACTGGAAAATAAGATAATGAAAACAATCAGTACACATGTTAGGAACTGACAACGTCCTCAGTAGTTTTTGAATAAAGATGGACACCATCTGGGAGCCTTCAATTAAAACAGAACACTCATACAACTTCCACCCCCATCAAATCAGTGTATATCTGATGTAATAGATCAGTGAAGATAATTAGAAAAAAATGTTCTTTAAATTCTGTTATCCAACAACTTGTAAATAATGGAGTTGTTTATTAAAATTAACTCTTATAAATATTGTAATTGTAACATTTAAAAACAAAGATTTACAGATAGAATTACATCCAAAGACATTAATATAAGTACTGAATCTGATGATGGCCAAAAGATGGTGAAAATATTGAAAGGATAAGAATTAAGTTAGACCATTTTTTAATTTTATTCTCTTGCTCTTTTTAAATAAAATTTACTATCCTTTTTTTTTTTTTTTTTTTAAAAAATTGTCTTTATAATTTTGGAAAGATATTTGTCATATAAATCTCACCTTTTATATGATAGCATAAATCAAAATGCATAAAGTTTTAATTATGTGCCCATTCTATGTAGTTTTAGGCTTTCATATATGAATTTTCTTTGATATATTATTTTTTTTTTAATTTTTATTTAGAAATTGTAAGAAAGTTAATGAAGCTATTTCTTTAATATGTATGTATAGACTTAGATGAAAATAGTAAAAAGACAAATAGAATATTCATGTTACTTTGATCCAAACAATTTCCTGCACAATTAAAAATATATTGCAATTTTTGCATCATTATTTCAGTGAAATAAACTCAAAGCTTTCTGTTGATATGCCCATTTTCAAATGATTTTATTTTTTTAGGCAAAATGTGCAATCCGAGATATCCTTCCAGCTGGTCTGAAAGAATCTATCAGCAAAGTAAGAACTAGTGTTGCATATGCTGTATCAGCAATTGCCCACTGGGACTGGCCCGAAACATGGCCAGAATTATTTAGTCTTCTCATGGATGCTTTAACATGTGGTGACCCTAATGCTTTACATGGCGCTATGAGAGTTCTTACTGGTAAGTAAACATGAAAAATTTTAGAATCCAAGTATTTATCATTCTATTTGCAAAAATACTATAACAGTAATGCTAAAATGAGATGATGAATGAAGAAACACATTGAAACTGTTTGAGACAGCATATTAGATTTTATAAACTCCGTTTCAATTAAATTTGTATACACCTTTTTCAATACACACACACACACACACACACACACACACATTTGGACAGCAATCCCTCTTTCATATAAGTTTTGTTAAGGATTACTAACAAGTCACTGCGATTAAGCATATTTAATTTTGTGTTCATGTATTTACTATTT